TCGAGCAGGAAGAACATCAGGAAGAATACCAAGGATCCCAAACGGGAGAGAGCAATGATGGCACCAATCCTTCAGCGTTTGGAGATGATGATATGGATCCGTTCCACAGCAGCCTGTTCGGTGGCCGAGGCCCCATGGGACTCCAGAGCACTCTACGTGCGCTTACTGGCATGATGAGCGGCATGTCCTCGCGTCTTCGAGATATCCTCTGCAACTTGAGAGCAAAGGATGATCCATCACTCCAACTGATCGCCCTACAAGAGCTGTCGGATCTTTTACTTGTTTCGAACGAGGACAACCTATCTGGTCAATTTTCGCCCGACCCGTACGTGAAGGAGCTCGTGGCCCTGATGCAACCGAACCAGTTTGGCGAAGAGAATCCCGAGATTATGCTGCTTGCATGTCGCTCTCTTGCGAACTTGATGGAGGCCCTACGGGGCTCCGTGGCGAATGTTGTATATGGTGGTGCTGTGCCCATCCTTTGTCAAAAGCTTCTTGATATACAGTTCATCGATCTTGCAGAGCAGGCTTTGAGTACTTTGGCCAAGATTTCAGTTGACTTCCCAGCCTCAATTGTGCGAGAAGGTGGACTGACTGCTTGCCTCACATATCTGGATTTCTTCCCAACCAGCACTCAACGCACAGCAGTCAGTACGGCCGCCAACTGCTGTCGTAACCTCCCCCATGACTCGTTCCCTGTGGTGCGGGATGTAATGCCCACCCTACTCAACGTGCTGTCTAGCAATGACCCTAAGGTCGTGGAGCAAGGATGCCTCTGCGTATCACGCATTGTCGAGAGCTTCAGGCACAGACCTGAGAACCTGGAGGAGCTGATTGAGCCTGCAATGCTCAAAGCTGTCCTTCGGCTCCTACTGCCTGGAACGACCAATCTAATCGGGCCTCATATCCACACGCAATTCCTCAGGGTATTGGCAATCGTATCGAAAACAAGCCCACGGTTGTCAAACGAGCTTCTCAAGATGGATGTAGTGGATACGCTTTACCAGATTTTGACCGGCGTGTCACCACCACAGGATGTCGATAACACGGCCGTCAAAATGGATAGTGTGCTAGTTATGCAAGCATTGATCCACCGGCCCCGGGAACAAGTATTTGAAACTCTCAATGTCATCTGCGAGCTACTGCCAGGTGTTCCAAGCCGGGATGCCTCAAAGACTGACAACCTACTAAGCTCATACTTTGATAGCCAGATGTCTATTGGACTGAGGTCGCCTAAAACTAAAGAGGCAGTAGAGGAGAGGCGGTCCTTGCTTGTCAACTGCAAGACTGAGCTTAAGCGTTTTGCGATGATCCTGTTCCCAACTTTGACCGATGCCTATTCGAGCACGGTCAATCTGCATGTCCGCCAGAAAGTCCTGATTGCACAGCTGAAGATGCTGCACATTCTCGAGCCTTCTTTGATCGAAGACGCCCTGCGCACAGTTCCTTATGCTTCATTCTTGGCTTCTATTCTGTCCCAGAAGGACCACTCTTCTCTCGTATCTTTGGCTCTACGCTGCGCTGAGTTACTGTTCCAACGCCTTGAACATGTTTATCAGCATCAATTCCACCGCGAAGGAGTGATCTCCGAGATCATCAAACTATCCGAAGGCTCTCTGTCAGGAGACCAGGAGAACACCGATTCATCCGATCCCACAAATGTAAATACGGCCACAGATCCATCACGCGGCGACAACCAAATTGTCGGAGAGGCTGGAGCTGGCGGAGAGGATGATGATGAAGACGATGAAGCCGATGACTATGACGACGAGGATGGCGAGGATGATGACCACGATGATATGTCTGCTTCCGAGGATGACTTCATGGCGGGTCCACGCAGTCTACAAAAGATGGAAAATGCCCTCAACGACGTAGTTATCCGAGATGCTCAAGCTTTCCTCGAGGTATATGAAGCAAGCCATGGCGAAACCGTTCGGGCAGAGGCTATGAGGATATTAACAGCACTGAAATCTCTCGCCTTGGAAATCAAGTCCCGCTATTCCCGTGGCGGCGAGGGCGGTCTCCTCTTATTTAGACAGCTCGCATCGTATTTTGATGGAGACGCATTGGAGAGCATTACCAGCTCTGAATTGCTCAATTCCGGCATCATCCAGGTTCTTCTCTCTGTTCTTGGTAACTTCCAAGCACCTTCTATTCGTGATGCTAGAGCCGACTTCCTGCGGGCGTTTATGGGTGTTTCAATCTCAGATAAGGCTCAAAGACAAAGCACCGCCACGACACCTTTCAGCGTACTTATCCGCAAGTTGCAGGACCTGCTTAGCAGGACGGAACATTTCGAAGTCCTCACCGTCAGCCACAATTCGTTAGAGAATACCCGCAGCAACGCAGCCTACATGCTAAGCAAACAGCTCCGACTCAAGCTGGTTGCCGAGGAAGGGTCTGAAGTTCCTCGTCCTTATCGCAACATCATGGTATCAATCCATGCCATTGCTACATTCAAGGCCTTGGATGACTTCCTTCATCCACGAATTGCCGTGGCGGAAAAGCCTCGCCCCTCACGAACCAGGGACTCGATTCTCTCCCAAATTGCCAATGCATCCCGGCTTCGTGAACAGCTGGCTTCGGGGTCTGGGATGAACCTCCCCAGTCATACAGGCGGTCCTGCCGATTCCACGGATGGTGCCTATGATCATGCGACAGGTCACTCGCCTAATGAATCAAATCGGAATCAAGAGGATGAAGACGAAGATCACGATGACGAGCCCCTTGAGTGCGCAGATGAAAGGCAATTGACCGACGAAGAAGATGACGGCGGCGACGAGGACGAGGACGAAGAACTCAACGCCATTGTTGATGATCTCGATGAGGAAATGGAAGATGACAATATCTCTGACCCCTCGGCGGTCAACATGGAGGTAGCATCCTCGGGCAAGGTCACAGCTCGCAAGGAGGATGGTACCCGAGTTGGGACTCCTGCATCCAAACCTTCATCATCAACTCCTACCGCTCTCCCCAGCCGCATGAGCAACAGCTCGCTCGCCACTGCCGGGCGACCGTTCTCATCTTATGCCGCTGCGATGGCCTCGCCTCCCCAGGACTGGCACCTTGAGTTCTTCGTAGATGGCAAGCCTGTTACTAATGAGACAACTATCTACCGTGGTGTTCATCACGATCGTGAGGACTTGGACGAGAGTAGTGCCAAGAACGTCTGGTCGGCAGTCCACACCATCACGTTTAAGCGCGTTCCTGGTCCTCCACCGCCGGAGCCCTCAACCCTCACTTCGGCCACCCAGGCTTCTTCTGAGGGTGATACCCTTGAAATCCCAGCCTCTCTCGACAAAGACCCCACAACTTCATCCATCATTCGTCTGCTTCGTGTTTTGCACGAGATGAACGCAACGATTGATGATATCTTGACTGATACCAAAGACTCTGCTGCTATCACCTCGGAGCCCTTATCCCAATTCATCAACACGAAGCTCACCGCCAAGATCAACCGCCAACTCGAGGAGCCATTGATTGTGGCAAGCGATTGTCTTCCAAGTTGGAGCGAAGACCTAGCCAGACTTTTCTCCTTCTTGTTCCCATTCGAGACAAGACATCTATTCCTGCAGTCAACTGCATTCGGGTACTCGCGGGCAATGATGCGATGGCAAAATTCCCAAAGTGGCGAGGACAGCCGACGGGACCTGCGCCGCGATGATCGCCCATTCCTTGGGCGGCTGCAGCGCCAAAAGGTTCGGATCTCTCGTTCTCGCATCCTAGATTCCGCATCAAAGGTCATGGAACTCTATGGGTCTTCCCCCAGCATTCTTGAGGTTGAATACTTTGAAGAAGTTGGTACTGGATTAGGACCGACTCTTGAATTCTACTCTACTGTTTCAAGAGAGTTTTCGAAGAAGAAACTTAAGATTTGGAGAGACACGGATGGGAGCGATGCTGCAGAGTACGCATTTGGCAAGCGCGGCCTGTTCCCAGCGCCGATGAGTGATGAACAAGCAGCCCAAGATGGCGGCAAGAAGCAATTGAACATCTTCAAGGTGCTAGGAAAGTTCGTGGCCCGCTCGATGCTTGATTCTCGGATCATCGACATTTCGTTCAATCCAGCCTTCTTCCGTATCGCGGATACACTGTCCTCGGTGGCACCATCACTGGGCACTGTCAAGCTGGTTGATCACGATCTTGGGAAGTCCTTGCTCATGCTTAAGGAATTTGCAAATGCCAAGAACGCTATTGAGGCAGATAAGTCGCTTTCGCCAGCTCAAAAATCTGAGGCCGTGCAAAACATCACGGTCCAGGGTGCCAAGGTCGATGACCTGGGCTTGGACTTCACTTTACCTGGATATCCTGCTATTGAGTTGATTCCTGGCGGCTCCGAGGTGCAGTTGACAATCGAAAATGTTGACACTTATATCGAACGGGTGATCGACATGACCTTGGGCAGCGGTGTCCGGCGTCAGGTGGATGCCTTCCGGGCCGGGTTCTCGCAAGTATTCCCCTTCTCCTCCCTTCGGGCTTTCACTCCAAGTGAGCTTGTCATGCTTTTCGGACAAGCAAAGGAGGATTGGTCTATCGAAACCTTAATGGACTCCATCAAGGCCGATCACGGGTTCAACATGGACAGTCGGAGTGTACGCAATCTGCTACAGACTATGAGCGAGATGGACAACCAACAACGCCGAGATTTCCTTCAGTTTGTCACTGGTAGCCCTAAACTCCCTATCGGAGGTATGTTAATCCTATTCCCCGCTGTATAAATTCTCACTAACACAATCAATATAGGTTTCAAGAGTCTCACGCCGATCTTCACTGTCGTGTGCCGCCCAAGTGAACATCCATATACACCAGACGACTATCTCCCCAGTGTGATGACTTGCGTCAACTACCTGAAGTTACCTGATTATAGCGACCTGGACGTTCTCAAGAAGCGCCTCTCAGTGGCCATCAAGGAAGGCCAAGGAGCTTTCCATCTTTCCTAGTCCCATGAACAAGTATTCACTCAAAATGTTCACTGTCTCCTCTCCTCTTCTCTTTCCTTGCTAGCTTCCGTCTTTCTCAACCAGGACGAGAAAATCTTCACGATGCGACGACGTGCGACCTGTTTCTGCTTTGTTCCTCAATTCCCAAGTTTTCGGACGGGCTGTTTCGCTGTTCTTTACTTTCTTCTTCTTCTTCTTCTTCTTCTTCTTCTTCTTCTTCTTCTTCTTCTTCTTCTTCTTCATATGCCATCTGGGTCGAAAGGCGTCATGGCGGGGGTTCCTTACGATAGTGGTATTAGATAGCAATGATCACTTTCTACTGAATTTAGTTTCTGGTGTAGATTTTAGAGTGCGTATGGCTACAACGTCGGGTGCTGAGGTATCATTTGTACAAACGTACAGTAGCACAAACGCCATTGAGGCAGGGGTCAATTGCCCCATTAAATAGAGGGACTTTCTCTCATTCCTCCGAGATCACCAAGATTCAAAGTACATATTCATCGGGTTCCCTTTCCTTGAACGGAATAAAATCATCCCTATACTATGGCCGCTCCTCAAGAGACTACCATTCAAAACCTCAACGGCCACTGGGTCCTGGTAAATATGCTATCCCCTTCGAAGAGGCCAGGTTGTAATCATATTGCTATCTACAGAACAAGGATCTATCCAGCGAAACAGACCTTATCCTAAGACTAGTAATAATCCCCGTCTATTTCTATACCAAATCCCAGCTAGTCCTCATAACCATCCATAGCAAAAAGTACCCTGGTTGATCCGCAAAGCATTCAAATTCGCAACCATATACATCCAAATCACCCAATACCAAACACCTTCTAAAACACCATCAACAAACATAGACTTCCTCCAAACAGCCACAGTAGGTCTAGCCGCGACTAAAGAAGAGCGCGTGCTAGATTGGAAAATATCAGATCATGAGGATTACTTCTTCGGTCAGGTTCAAGCTCAGAGTGAATTCGTTCATGGTGTTACTGATGCAGAAGGAATTGTGCGGCCTGGATTTGAGATTCAGACGGCTGATGGCAATGCGGAGGTAGATAAATACTTGCGAGGTGAGACTGAGGCGGGTGGGAGGAAATCTACGGGTTTTATAGTTGAGGATTGCAGTAAGGAGGGCGGGATTTGGGTTCATACTTTTGAGAGGAATGTTAAGTCTGGATGGACGGCTGAGCAGGTGAGTATGGTTTATTTTTGGTTTGGTGTATTGAGAGCTGATCATTGTAGATCTGGGGATTTGAGATGTTTGGGGGTGAGAGATACTTCTCTCGTCGAGTAGTGGTTATGGGGACAAAGGGGGAATATATATGTGGGAGGGTTGTGTTTGATTTTGTCAAGCATGAAGACTAACATCCCATTACATGCCTGGAGGTGATTGATCCAATATACATGATTCTGTAAATAACTCTTTGGACAATATGATGAAAATTGAGAAATCTATTCTAATACTCTATAATCTAGAATCTAATCTATAACTCTATAACTAATACAATGGGGGGGATATATCAACTTTCCACAACACACTCTAGTTCGAATAAATCGACACCATAGACTGTAAAAACTGTTAGCCACGTTTCAAGTAAATAGAACAAAAGGATAACTCACATCCGCAAATTTAGGCTCAATAAACAAAGCCTTAGCCTCAGCAACCATGACCGCACCTTCACTATCCTCCCTTAGCAGACTAGCATCCGAAACAATGCTACGCGAGTCCGCAGACAGCGGCAACGTCAAAGGAAGATAAGTCATCCTCCCCTCAACCCAAGCCTTCCTACCCTCAACCTTCGTAGTTTTTGTGCGCAGCACATACATCCGATCAGGAAGAGCCGGCTTTCGGAAATCCACATTGAGATTAGCCGTCATACCCAGCCCGCTGGGGAAAGCCGCAGACACACAGCGCGCAAACACCTCGTCAAACAGAACTGTGAGAAGACCACCGTGCACAAAGCCAGGGTGACCGCATAGATCCTGGCCGATGTGGAATACCGAGACGACGTTGCTGGCTTGGTGGTCACTTTCGGCTTGTGCTTTAGACTTGCCGGTCGATAGCCACATGTATGGTGCGAATGCGAGCTTGCCTGGACCGGCCAAGCTTCCGCCCACGAAGTGGTGCTGTCTGATGGGTGGTGGGATTGCGAGGTGGGGACGGGTTTCTTTGTAGGTGCTGTGTGTTTCGCGGAGAGTTTGGACGAGTGGGATTTGAGAAACTAGTGTGTCGAGGGCTGTTGATTCATGGTGTTGTGGTTGTGCTTGGGTTTGAGAAAGGAATGGTGTTTCTGTTTGGCTGGGGAGTGCTTGGTCGTGAACCACTGCCGACCGTGTTGGGCCTTGTTGATGAAGACGGGCAATGGGTGCTGCGGGCGAGTATGTTCTAAATGCTGAAAGGTTTTGCGATCGGAAGAGCCGACGCGCCGTTTGTGCAATGTTTGACATTTTGGAAGTATGTATGAATCCGATGATCACTCTGCTCATGCATGTTAGAGGGGCTTGCTTAATTGCCGACCGGGGTACATACTGCAAAATAGGCTCAGATTACTCGGCTTTTTGAGTTTGCCGATCGCCGTAGTTTGAACTGGGGGTGATATATGCAAGTATACAATATACCACACTTGGACTTTGCAATGACGAAAGGAGGGTTGACCGGCAATTTAAAGCAGAGAGACCCGCCACCCGTCTGGACTCCTGTTTTTTTTTTTAAGCCGATTTTTCTCTCTTGGACCCAAACAGTGGGGCTCAAAGCCTTGGAACAGCCGATGATCGGACCGAAATGCCAAGGAATATAGTTCGGTATGCCGAGAATGCCAAGACGCCATAGATCTATATCAATATAGCATTCTTCAACATTCTTCAACGGAGGAAGATCATAATTCGTGTAGCATTGTAGTATAGTATTGGGAGCTTGTCGGGAAGGGGGCCTTCCCCGTTGGGAGTAACCAACGCAGAAAGGTTGCGTTCTCATAGAACGCAACTTACTGTTGTCGTCCTCTTCGCATTCCATCAAAGTATCGTTCATCCGGCTCCGATATCATCTGCTTTCTTGATTTGCTTTCAAATCAATTGCCTCTTCAGAGGTCATCACAGCCCAAGATGAATGACCAAACCTACCTCTCTTCTTCTTCTTCCTCTTCTGGGGACTCTGCCACCAACCCCCCCACCGACCCTTTCGGTTCTGGCGCGGCTAATGACCCCCAGACCATCTGGAACACCCTCTTCTCTGGCTGGGACAACCCCTCCCAGATCAACAACCCTGTTGTTTCTGAGGCGGACAATGTCCCCCAGAGCATCATCCTTTTCCGACCTGGTGGGGCCCATAATACCGCCCAGACCACCAACAACTCCCTCAGTCACGCAGCCGGCATTAGATTGCGTGCCGTTCGCCCTGACAAGTTCGACCCCTTCCAACTCCCCTCGGATGACGACGAGATCACCGCCCCCGAGATCCCCACCCACGACCCCGACTTCCTCGAAGAGGACGAAGATGACTCCAACTACGAACTCATCGGCGACATCTTCGGGGATTTCGATGTGGATAGGCTAGGGTGGGAGTGGATGGTGGAAGAGGATGAAGGGCAGGCACGCCCATTTCCTCCCGGCTACTTCGAGCGCCTGGAGGCCGAGCTGGACGACATCATCGCGGGGCGCTATCCCCAGCATCCCCATGGGTCAGACTCAGACCGGGAGGTCGGCTACGTGACCGAGGTGGAGGATATCGTCGATGAGACCAGAGATAGTGACGAGGACACCGCTCTGGATGAGGCGTAGGCAAGCAATGCTTACTCAAATGCAAGGTAAGTTTCACTTTACATTCACTTTACTGCTAGATCCCAGTCAGCTTTAGTTCAGTTTCACTTCAGTCTCGGGTTCACTTTGGTGTCATTTCAGGTTCATTACTGACTCATCTTCGTCCCATCTAGGTGCCGGTGAGGAGAGCGGCTCCTCCTTTGTCGGTGTTCTTCGACCTTGCAACGCCCCACCACGGCTGACTTTAAGCGTGGTGGGAAGGGGTGGGGAGGAGGGGGAGTGGGGGAAAAGCTTCTTGTTTGAGTAGCCCCAAAAAGAGGTTGACAGTGTATGGACTGGACTGGCGACGGTATGGACCGTTTGCTGTGTCACTCCAGCCAGGGGCAGCTCATATGAGTTGTCTGCCTTGATGAGTATATTTCTTTCTGTGATGAGCGTTTTTATCGTGAGTCCACTGTTAAGATGATCACTGTTGAATGTCATTCTCGATTCACCCGCGCCATTTGATACTCCTATGATACCGCGGTATATCAAGAAAATGGAATCAAACGAGGTGTTCTGAAGAAGTAGAGCAAAGAGAGGCAACAGGACCTGGTTGGCCGGTCGGATAATACGACAATACGATACGAGAACGGTACAATGCGACGGGGCTTCAAACATTGAGCATTTCAAACTTACAGCGAAAGCTCTAGACTCGGTTTCATTCATAACCTGATCTATGAAGCGGCTTTAGCGGCTGGGGCTTTCATCACCGCAGACAGATCAGCACAGATATACTAGACCGCGCCATCAGTAAATATGTTCTTTTACTCTACGGCTCCAGTATCTATAACCATTATACAAGATGGAGCATGACGCGGAGATTGATGCACTGGTCTACAATATAAACCGAAGAAGCTCAAGCCACACTTTGTCGAATCTACAATGTATTTTGGTTGTGAAGAGCGCAGATATATTGAATGGACCTATTCAAAACCGATATCCATGAATTTGATACTGAATACCGACAGCAGCACAACTTCTAGAATAGGGTACCATCGCCAAAGTTCAAGATAGGACTGCACTTCGTCTCCGGACGTTTAGCCGCTGCCAGCTCACGACCCGCTTTCCAAGAACCCGCCTCCAACACCTGAGGCAGAGACAACTGGACACCATCCAAGCGAGCGAGAATCTTCGTATGCAGCACATCGAGGAGGGCAACAGTCATAGCACGCCATTCCACAATCTCATCATCGCCCGCACCAAAGGAAGGCAAGCTACCACCCGAAAGGCTCAAACCTCGTTGAAGTGCCTCGGGCTTCAATTCTAGAACTCCCATATCGACAAGCATGCCTCCGTTGCGGTACTCCGGCAGACCAGTTCCCAGCTCAGTATTGGACCATGAAACTGAGAGCAGACGGGAGAATGGCACCATCAATGAGTACGCTAGCCATTGGGTCAGCTTATGGAATGGTTGGATGTTGGAGTAGGGTTTCGACTCCGATCCAGTCTGCTGCTCAAGTGCTTTCAGGGGCCATGCATCGCCGATGGGTTGTCCGTTCACGTGGGTACGATCAGACGGCCAGATGGGGATCAGGAGGCGCTGTAGCACGTTCCAGAGATCCTTGTAATCCAGCTTTCCATCACTCGACTTGGCAATGAGGTAATCTAGAGGCGGGGATTGTTTAGTAATTTTGATAACAACGACTAGGATTAACTGGACTCCATGGGCTGTATGAACTTACCAACAAGATTACCAGGACGACCAGAGGGACCAAAAATATCTTTCAAGTTCACCAGAGACTCGCCGAGTTTACGGAGGATATCTGCACGTGCAGGTACTCCGATCATGGGATTGCCATCATCGACCTGGAGTCCACGGGATAAGATTTCTACATTGATATTGCGCAATGCATCACCTAGCAAGGATGTCAGCTAACGGCAATCGCATTGAATAAAAGCAAGCGCTTACCGTTGGCGGTGTGCTTCACCGACGAGTCCGGGCCAGCAAAATCACCGTTCAGGAACATGTGCAGGGCCGCAACCGCAATACCCTCGCTCCGATTGAGCGTCAGACCAGTTTGTGACTCCTTGAATTTCCAGAAGTCTCCAGCGCCAGCATCCAGGAGCACAGAGACGAAGAAAAGATCTATCAGTCTGCGTGTCTTTTCGGTGGTGTCGCATTTCTCCTCATCCCATTCGGCCAGGAGAGTGGCAATGCGGGGAACCCCGCCGACTTCGAAATGTTGCCAGCGGCCATGGGGCGGAATCAGGTGATATTTGTCAGGGCCGAAATCGCGCTATGATAGTGTGAGTTGCTTTATGTTTGCAATTGTAATTGTTAACTGGGATGTGCTAGCCCTACCTGAATCAGTTTAAGTACGTAATCGGTGGCATCTTCCATGCGTTCGGGGTGGTAATTGAAATGATTCAAACGGCCCTCTTCGGCTAGTTTGAGAACCACATGGGCTCTTGTACGGACAGCTTCGAGGCCTAATAGTTCTTCAATTTGGGGATCCATGTTGGTTGAGAGAATTGGGGTGTTCTGAACAAAGAAAAGGGTGTTTTAATACTCCGGGCCAGGAAGGCGGGGGAAGATATGCACTTATGTAAATAGTTGCAACCTGAGTGAACTAGTTACATCTAGGCTGAATTGGTCTTCATAGACTATCCTGTTCAGGTCTTGGGGTAGTTCTTTGTCACTTATCGGGCTCGGGTTTGATATCTTATCTATCGGGGAAGTCCGATTGCGAAGGATTTATGAGTCAAGTATCCATTTCGTATAGACTAATATCAACATGCTTTTTACATACGCTTCAATTTCGAAATTAGAATGTCAGAGGGTCAAGGTGGCCTAGGAAAGCATCGTTACCCTCACCACGAAGAAGAGCATCAATATCAATGCGACCGGCAGTAAGATACTTCTCGCTGACACCAATGTTCACTCGCTGGGAAAGGAGGTGCTTGAGCTCCGCACGAAGTCCGGCCATTTCGCTCTTGCTAGTTTCGCTAGCCTCCTTGTCACGTCTTTCGCGGCCACCACCACGACCACGACCTCTACCCTTAGACTGATCGAACTCATCACTGTCATATTCAACACCGAGATCTTCGGCCGCAGAGCGGAGCCAGTTGTCCTCGGTGTTGACCTTCTCCTTGGCAATGGTGGATTCGGTAATTTTCTTGGCTAGGCCCATGCGGGGGCGGAGGCGAGCAACCACTCGGCGATCAATGTCAAGAGACTCGAGGGGAATCTTCTTGCTAGGTCCCTCGGGGTCGTCGGCCTTGCGCGCCTTCTTGGCGTGGATCTTGCCAGCAAGACGGGCAACGCCGACAACCTCGTCAGGAGCACAGATCAGGATACTCTTTCCGGATTCACCGGCACGAGCAGTACGACCGGATCGGTGAACGTAGGCGTCTGCTGTGCGGGGAACGTGATAGTGGATAACGCAGTTAACGCCCTTGATATCCAAACCACGAGCGGCGACGTCGGTAGCGACAAGAATTGAGCTTGGGTTGGCAGTGGGAGATGAGAAACGTTCGATGGAACGGAGTCGGGCTTTCTGGGCCATGTTGGAGTGAAGGGCGAACACGGGAAGTTGAAGAGCTTGCAACAGTTGAGTGATGCGGCGGACAGCGGAAATAGAGTTTGTGAACACAAGGGTGCGGTTCTTAGGGTAGTAGAGGAGGACTGAGTAGAGATAGAGATCCTGATCATGATTAGTATCGGTATTAGAGCGGTTCAAAAGTGAAGTGTCTTACCTTTTCCATAGCAGGGCATTCCACAATTCCTTCCTTGAGTCCGACGGCCATCTGCGACTCTGGGTTCACATCGATGAACTTGGGCTTCTCTTCGTGGAAATTCAATTTCTTGAGAAGGTACTCCATAGACGCTTTGTTGTCCAACATATCATCACTTGACCAGCGGCTTTTGCCTGCTAGCTTTTGTTGAAGATCTTTGTGGAATGTAGCCGAGAAGACAAGAGTCTGCCTTACAGATGGCTCCTCCTCCTCTTCTTCCTGATCCATGTCGGCAATATCACCGGCTTGCTTTTTGTCTAGTGCATTAAGGATATCTTCCATCTCCTTGAAATGACCTTCACTCAGCAGTCTGTCAGCTTCGTCGACGACGAGGAACTGGATTTTCTGCATTTTGCGGATCAATCCCGTTCCTGTGCTTAGGATCTCCCAAATTCGGCCCGGGGTTCCAACGACAATATCGGCCGTGGCAAGTTGTCTTTGCTGCTTTTGAATAGACATACCACCGGTAATAAGAGCGATTCGTGCGTTGGTATCCGGGGAATTAGTAATGAGCTCTCCAATATGCCTTCCGATCTGATGGGCCAGCTCTCGAGTGGGAGATAGAATCAATGCAAGCGGGCCTTTGTTCTTTTCAGGCTTGTCAGACTGTTCCTCCTGTTTCCCTCTCTTGTCCAAGTAATGCTCGATAATCGGAATACCGAATGCCAATGTTTTACCAGAACCTGTAGAGGCCTTTCCGACGACATCATGTCCATCGAGAATGGGAGGAATACTGGCTTTTTGAATGGCCGATGGGGAGGTGAACTTCATTTTGGAAAGAGCCGTGTAGATCTCGGGCGAAAGGTTAAGACCGTCCCAGGCTGACACGTCCACACCGTCGTCCTCTTCGACATCATCGAGAGCCGCGAATCCGAGCCCGGCCTTGATGTTCTGGCCCTGAGCAGGTTTGGACTCCTTCGACTTTTGCTCCTTAGGCTTTTGCTCCTTAGCCTTTTTCTCTGCTTTCTTGGCTTTGTTTTGCTCCTTCTTCATGTCCCTCTTCGACTTCTTATCTTCCTTCACTTCGGTGGCAGCGGGAGTCTTCTCGGTGGCAGCAGACTTCTTGGACGAGTCTTCGTCGCTAAAACCATCCCATTCGTCTCCATCGTCCGCAGACGGGGGTTTGAGAATTGAATGTGTTGGCTTGCCAGACTTAGCCTACTCATCAACCATATATTAGCCCTCAGTAAACATGACCGATCAAAGCATGCAGCCTCATACCTTGAATTGAACACCTCCGTCGC